GAGAGAGAGAGAGAGGAAATCACTTTTGTATGCAGCCTTGTGTATACCATAGTGTATGCTCAATGGCTCAGTTTTGAAGGGGGGGAAAACAATGGATGGTCATGATTCATCATCAGAAGCCTTTTTCCAACTATTTGGGGTTGGCTACATGAATTATGGTTCACCATTCTGCTCTATCAAGGGCCATATCCTTAGTCAGGCCATAAGTCTCTATATCTTTTCTCACTACTTCCAACCATGTCTTTTTGGGCTTATCCCTTGCCCTTTTTGAGTCTTCCACTTGAACTAACTTGCACTTCCTAACAGGTTCATTACTAGGTCTGCGCATATAGCCAGCCCACCTAAGTCTACACTATCTCGTCTTGTTGCCTATTGGTGCCACACCCAAGTTCTTCCGAATGTATTCATTTTGAATTCTATCTCTTCTTGTCTTGCCACTCATCCATCTTAATATCCTCATCTCAGCTACACTCATCCTATGGGTATGTTGTTTCTTGACTGTCTAACATTTTGTCCCATAAAGCCAAGCTGGTCTCACAGCTGTCTTATAGAACTTACCCTTCAGCTTCATTGGTGTGCGACGATCATATAAAACTCCAGTTGCACATCTCCACATCGTCCACCCAGCTCTAATTCACTGTGCGACATATTCCTCAATCTCTCAATTTTCCTGGATTATTGGCCCAAGATATTGAAAGTGAGCTCTTTTGGGTATTTCTTGGCCATCAATTTTAACTATTTCCTCGTCTCTACTCATATAATTACTAAACTTGCATTCCACATATTGTCTTAGTCCGACTAATTTTAAAACCGTTACATTCCAGAGCATCCATAAAAAATTCTAACTTTGTGTTGACACCGTTTCAAGTCTCATCGATCAAAACTATGTCGTTTGTGAACAACACACACCACGACCCCTCATCTTGCAGGTGCCTAGTTCAGTCGTCCATAACTAAGACAAAGGGGTATGCACTCAATGCTGACCCCTGATGTAGACTTATTGTCATTGAAAACTCATTCGTCTCTTCATTAGCTGTTTGCACACTAGTTAGCGCTCTCTCATACATATCTCTCACCAAGTCGATGTAGCATCTGGAGACTCCGTTCTTTTTCAACACCCACCAAATTAAATCTTGAGGTACTCTATCATAAGCTTTCACTAGATCAATAAAGACCATGTGAAGATCTTTTTCCTACGATCTAAACTTCTCAATCAGTTGCCTAAGTAGGAAAATAGCCTTAGTTGTTGACCTCCTTGGCATAAAATCGAATTGATTTTTTGATACACTCATTTCAGGCCTTAGTCGTTGCTCAATCACTCTCTTCCCAGCTTCATAGTGTGGCTCATAAGTTTGATCCCTCGGTAGTTAGCACAATTCTGTGTGCCTCTTTTGTTCTTGTAAATAGGTACCACAATACTTTTCATCCATTCATCTAGCATTTTCTTTGTTCTCAATACCTTATTGAATAGCTTGATCAGCCACTCAATGCCGATTTCCTCGATGCCTCTCAAACCTCTATCGGGATACCATATGTTCCGAAAGCATTTCCTATCTTCATCCTCTTCAAAACTTCTTTCACTTCTAATATCCTAATCCTACAAATGCATCTATGACCTTCGCCCTCATTTATGTTCTACCACTATGTTCCCATTGTGTTTCATTTTTTAATTTTAATTTTTTTCTACATATTGGTTTCACATGAAGTTTGGGGTGTCCACTCTTCTAAATTAGGAGCGCTTAATAACAAAAAAAATTAACCAAGTGTCATTTGGACCTTCTAGTGTTGGTGAATTTAAATTTTTGAAAATGTTTATGGTGTAACTTTTTTAGATGTGCCTCGGTGAGGAGCGCATACCTTCCAAATTTCATATAAAACAGTTTTGTAAAGAAAAATTAAAATTCAATGGCCTCCATGCTCTTATGGCCGTCTATTATTTTTCCTTCTAATTATGAGCTTTTGGGCATATATTAATGCATACATGAGCTGGCATTCAAAATCATTTTACACTCACCCACACCCACACCCACACCCACACCCACACCCACACCCACACCCACACATACACATATGCACACACAGACCTGCACTTGCGTACATAATATGTATAAGCTGTATGCTTATGTGTGTGTATTGCATGAACTACTGAACCAGATACCATCTGAACTCCATGTTTTCTTGGGCAAGAAAGTCTAGGATTTATTTTTTTATCTATTACTTGAATGCATGCATAAATTAGAACCTGGTACATGTAGGTTTACTTGTGCCAGAGTGATTGTCAGATGAATGACCTCCCTAAGAATTCCTTGCCTCACATGCAGATTTGCATATGTTGGTACATGCATGTACACCCTTTTCACCTGTTCAAAAGTGTAGTGGCTTTTTCCTTACAAAGTGATTCATAACTGTTGTATTGCCTCTACAATTGTTGTGCCTTTTCTCTTATCTATACAGTCATTTCGTGTCTTGCACTCCGACTTCTTGTCTTTGTACTTCATAAATGAGAAAACTATCCCCAATAATTTTATGGAAGATGATTGTATCCTAGTTGCGGGTACCTTGTTTGTGGCATTTGTACACCCAAACTAGTGCTTGTCATGGTGGGGCATTGCTTAAGTTATAATGCTCTGAAGTCAGTGAATCTTTATTTCCATTCCATATGCCATCAATATACTAGACTAGGACCCCCTTTGACATGAGCTGTAGTCCGGTGGAGATCTTGAGTGAAGAAAGTTCTCTCTTGCTACATTTTAATTTTTCATGGAAATATTGCCATCAAGTGAATGCCATCTCTGTTTGAATTTTTGTATATGAATTCTGGTATATGAGATATTTATATATTACTGGCGGCTAGTATGTCTTTTGTTTTTTTGAGAATGTTAACTTATGGCGGCTAGTATGTCTTTCTCTTATGGGTTCATAATGCTGATAAATACAGGGGAAATATTTCTCTGTTCATACATGCCTATCAGAGTTAATGTTATTATTCAGGTTGATATTCATGTGGTTTACTGGTGCCCCTTCTTGTTTCAGGCAAGCTTGCATCCAAGGGGCGGTGCGTCAAGAAGAGAAAAACCAAGAGGTCGTTATCATGGCTTAAGTGAACAAAAGAGGAAAGAAATCAAGGAGGCATTTGAGCTATTTGACACTGATGGATCAGGTTCGCGTAATGCGTAGATTATTGCATGTTGTCACTTCATTTTCTTTGGTACTTGCTCTGATTATTTTGTTTGTTTGAATGAAGGAACGATTGATGCTGGTGAGCTAACTGTTGCCATGAGGTATGTGAGCCATTAATTTTGATTCTATGAAGTTATCATCTGGTCGCATCAGTATTACACTTGTTAATCATGAATGATGAATTATTTGTCTGCAGGGCCCTGGGGTTCGAGATGACTGATGAGGTACAAAAATTTTGTTGTTCTTAGTTTACAGTGGTGGAGTTAGATTTACGGGGTTAGGAAAGTGGTGCCTGAATTAGAATAAGTGAATTTGGTTTGTATGCATGGAAAAAAAATGATATCAAACGTATGTACTATATTTCTGTGTGATGGTTTTTGTTATTGTATTAATCTTTTCCCAGAGAATCATATTTGTGTGTGTTCATGCAGGTATATTGTCTGATTTTATTTGTGAGCGTACGCAAATCCACATGTTAGGTGTGCATCGAGTTAGTGCTTGTGCACATGTAATTTTCAGGAAACCTGATTGAGATTGTTGATATTTTCTATATATGTTTATAATTTTTGTCTTTTTCAATTTTAATCAATGTATGCATTCATTGGGTTTAAGATGCGCTAATTTTGTTTTATTTTTCTCTATTGATTCCTCGTTTTTTTAATGAATCTTCTCTAATGTTATTTTGTTTTGCATTGAAGCCTCCTTTCTAATTGTATTGATACCTCCATTGCACTTGGAAATCAACCCTTGTCCAAATTATATAAGCTTGTGGTTTGATTAAGTTATATGGCAGGTGTGTTTACTGTTGAATGTTGATTACTTCAGTTATGTAAACTGTATATATATCATTGATTATGTACCAGTAGGAATGGTTTTTGTCCTGAGCTGTTTCTGATGGAGAATCAAAGAAAGATCATTGGGAGTTGGGGCTGGGGATGAATTTGGAAGGGGGCGTGGTTCTTAGGGTTTACAAACTATTGTCCTTTGCCATATGATTTCTTTGTGTTGTTGTTCTGTGTCATGATACCCTGCCTATGAGTCATGAGTCTCTGTTTATCCTAATTCACCCATCTATTTGAAAGAGTATGATGCTTGCATGTTGATTCCATAGATCTGGTGAAGCCAAACAGTGCTTCGGCTAGTCCATATTGCTTTTCTAACTGATTGTTCTATTGTATCTTTTATTGAAACCTAAATCTTTCCACGGCCATAGGTATCTGTAAGTCTATTTAGTAGTGCTTCAGCAAGTCTATCTAACAGTGCTTCCACAAGCCAAACATTGCTTCTGCAAGTCTATGGGTATCTCATCAGCTAATTGCTGTCATCCATATCTTGGATTTTTTTTTTCTCATATGATGTCATGAGTGCCTTTTTGTTTTTATGGTGTCCCAAGTACCCTCCTACATTTTGATTTGTCTTGATCAAAGTGCCTTTGTTCTTAATCCTTCTTCATAGTGTGGTACCAAGTGCTAGACCGTGTTCTGGACTAGGTGCTCTTCATTTGATCATTATTCTATACTGTAAGTTAGAATCAAACTCCCCAAACACAACATTGCACAATTTTTAATCCAACTCTGATGAGGTCATGGTGTCACTTCTGTCTTGCTATCGCCAAGGTTGTTTCTGAATGCAGTTGTGAGTGGTGATATATTAGACATCATAGTAGAAACCGAGGAACTTATGAAAGCGACAATAATTGTATTTGGCTTAACAATGCCTGTTCTCCTTTGTTGTAGAACTGGCCTTAGACCAATGTGCCTGCTTCTTAGCAAGACACTTATACTGGCTCCCTGTATGCTAAACCCTTGTTACGCCAAAGCGTGGTCATTGGGACCCAGGTTATGATAAAATTCGCTGTTTGGACATCTATTTGTATAACTATAATAAAGTTTGAAGATTTAATCCCTTTTCATGTTAAAAAAACAATTTATTACATTTTTTCAGCGAGATATGGAAATACCATTTATCACTATAAAAAACCATAACTGATCTAATAACACGAAAAAAAGAAAAAAAAATAGAAAGAAATTTCACCATAGCCCATTACAACAACCATTGATATAAAATTGCAGGCCCAACTATCTATTCATAGAGATTTATTTTCTGAAAAAAGAAACCCAAAAGCGAAAAAAGATAAGAATGCTGCAAGCCAGGCACCTACCAGCAAAACCCCATAGTCTATTTACATGAAAAAAAAGGATAAAAAAAGTAAGAAAAGAGAAATAAATGATAAAAACAACCAAGAGAAATAACATATAGAGGGAAAATTAGAGTCCCAACTATCTAATAATGATCGAGACATTTATACCAGGTAATATCCCAAAGAAAAAGAAAATTCAAAACCAGACATTCCAAAGTAAGTCCCAAGTCTAAAATTCAAAACCAGACATTCCAAAGTAAGTCCTAAGTCGCTATTCACAAACCCCCCAACCCCCAACCCCCACCCACCCACCCCACCCCCCCCCAATACCCCCATCGTTCCCTTCAGCTCACTTATTATTAAACACACCATTGAATCTCTTCTGCCTCTCTTTACCCGGCTTTCTTTCTCTAGATGTAATGTTTCTTCTTCTCAATTGGAGGCTGTTATTATCTTATTTGAGGCAGGAGGAGTAGCAAAAACTGGAGAAGAATTTTGAATGTAGAGAAAGGAGTGGGTGTTAAGCAGTTTGTAGACAGATGAGGTGTAAAAGAGTCTTCTGAGATTTGTAGAGAGAGGAGGGAGCTTCACATTGTGGGTGCTTAATAAGAGGCTTGAGGCTGAGAGGTATGCCTTTGCAAGGGAGACCATAATAGTAGTGGGCCATAAATGTGCATAATTTCCCCATTACACTAACAATTGAACAACAGGAGAGAGAAGTTGAAAAGAGAGAGAAAATATGAAAAATGATAATGCTAGAATGGCGTTAGAAATACCGAATGTGAAAAGGACGAAGCAGGGTTAGTGTTTGTGGGTTATGGAAATGGTGGGCATGGGGTAAGGGGTTTAGGGTTAACCAGAGGGTTGGTCTCTCCATTAAGAACCAGGCGAGAGGCGGGCTGACGAAGGAGCTCCATCCATCACTTTTGTGCTTCACCATAGGGGGCTTGGAGGACTTGCAGAGGGAGGAGGGTGAGGGGTAGAAGAGGGCACGAGGGTAGAGTGATGAGTCCAACGAGGCTCTGGGGGTGGTTGCCATGAAATGCTTTGGTTCTGCAACTGGATTAAATTGTTGGGGGTTTTAGAGAGAGAGAGAGAGAGAGAGAGAGACCTGCAACTGGGATGAAAAGTATGTGGGGTGTAGAGTGTAGGAGTACAATTTTTCTTCTACTTGCTACGAGAGATGGAGGCTCCAAAGGAGATTGAGTGGAGGTACAATGTAGGGGAGAGAGAGAGAGAGAGAGAGAGAGAGAGAGAGAGAGAGAGAGAGAGAGAGAGAGAGAGTAGTAGTAGTAGTAGTTAGTTTATTTATTTAGTTACTTATTACGTATTACGTTACTTACGTTACTTACGTTCGTTACGTACGTACGTAACGTACGTTAGTTACGGTTAAGG